AGTATTATTTTCTGTCAGTCATAGCCCACCCTTAGATAGGAGATTATCCCCAATAAGAGTGATAATAATGTGTTCATTCAGCACCAGTAAAACTCACTGGCTAGTATCTGATACTCTGAAACAGTATTTCTCAACATTATCCCTTGCATATGGTAACCATCTATTTACACATCTTCCTCACCCTACTATAAGCTTCTGCAAGGTAGGGCTGTGTCTTATTTATTTGTAATCCCTCAAACAGTGGAGTACTTAGTGTATGGTAATATTCAAGAACTCTCATTAGCTGAATGAATAATGGATTAAAAATATTATCTGTTGAATTCTGAAAAGAGAAAGAAATTACAGCTTGTGCATAAAGTGCCTTGACTTCCAATAGCCAGGTTAGCTACCTAGTTACTAACGAGACAACTGTACTCCATATTTGTGTTTGTGTACGCTGACACAAAACCCACCTGGGTATTACCCAAATGTGCAGACATCTAGACAAAGCTGAGGTCTCTAACTCCAGCAGTGAAAGAGGGGATAAGGTTGATTTTTCTAGGCATTGGATATGCTCGCTTTGGCCCATCTGCAGATTTTTTCACAGACCCACCTACAGCCAGGGTCATGCAGTTATGAGACAGCCATCTAGAGGTGTCTGAAGTACTCAGTTAGAAGCAGAAAATGATCAAATGCTCTATATTGGTCTTTGACTTTATCTCTTACATATCTTCCTCCAGGGTTTAGGTATCCACCCAGCCTGAACAACGAAGTCCATGCAGAGTGCTACGTCTTCCTGAAGGAAAAGCACAGAGCAGGCTGCTGCAGTCCTCACTTCTCCATTAGAAAAGATAGCTTTCCCTTACTGACCTTTGCTCCTATCATTTCACCACCTGGAATGCTTCCTCTTGGTTTGCTCTTTTTGCCTTTCTGAATCCCACGAGGACCAACTCAAATCCCTTCTCCTTCCTGAAACCTTTCCTGACCCTCCGCAGAAAGCAGTAATTGCTCCCCCCACGAACACCTGGACAACCTGGTGCCGATGCTACTTGAGATTTTGCATATTTCCCCTTGTATTGTCAATTTTTTCTCATATTTCCCCTTTCTTGTGCTTTTTGAGAGTAGAGATAATGCCCTGCGTTTTTGTAAAACCTGTAGCATCTTATATCATATGGCACACATTAAGAAAATACTTGGTAATTTGGGAGAAAAGCATCCAGAAAGGAATTTACTGAGATAAATGAACTTAATGAAAGATTATTACAGATATTATGAGAAACATCTATGCTTACATAATACTTTTATAATATATGAATCTATTTTGAAAAAATTTCTTGAAAGAACAATTAGAGAAAAGTTTTGGATTTCCCAACTAGACTTTAAAAAGTGTTTCAGGCAGGAGACACCCTTACAGAAATTGGAGTAGGCAACCAATTCCTGATCAAAAACCCAGATGTCCATGCCATAAGAGATAAGATAGACAAGTGGGACCTCATTAAACTGAAAAGCTTCTGCAAAGCAAAAGAAATCATTAAGAGAGTGGGGCGACAGCCCACAGAATGGGAAAAAATATTTGCCAACTATATATCTGACAGAGACCTAACATCCAGGATCTACAAGGAATTTAAATGTGCCAAAAGGAAAAAAAACAACCCCATTAAAAAGTGGGCAAAAGACATGAATAGACATTTCTCAAAAGAAGATACATGGGTAGCCAACAGACACATGAAAAAGTGCTCAGCCTCACTAATCATCCGAGAAATGCAAATCAAACCCACATTGAAATACCACCTAACCCCAGTAAGAATGGCCATCATTAATAAAACAACCATCAACAGATGTTGGTGAGGATGTGAAGAAAATGGAACACTTCTACACTGCTGGTTGGAATACAAACTAGTTCAACCTCTATGGAAAACAGTGTGGCGATTTCTAAAAGAACTAGAAATTGATCTTCCATATGACCCAGCAGTCTCTCTACTGGGAATATACCTAGAGGAACTCAAATTATTCTACAAAAATGATATCTGCACACATATGTTTATTGAAGCACTATTCACAATAGCAAAAACATGGAACCAACTGTGCTGCCCATCAAAACTGGACTGGTCTGGATTTTTTAAAAATGTGGTACATACACACAATGGAATATTATGCAACCATAAAGAAGGATAAACATATGGACTGTGTAGCAGCTTGGATGGATTTATAGTCTATCATACTGAGTGATCTGTCACAGAGAACACACATGTTCTCACTCAAAAGCGGTTGTTGAACATTTACTGTAATACTATAAGAAAGGGATTGGCAGTAGCAGGATACTGCCTGGGTGGAGGCGGGGAGCACATAACATCAAAAAGGTACCTGATCTCAAACCAGGCAGGGTGGGGACCAAAGAGAGGCCCAAACTTTACCTGTATGATGTCCACTGAATTGTTCCCCACATCTTTAAAATAAAATATATGTATAGAAAGTAAAAAGAAAAAGAAAGTGTTTCATACTCAGCAATTAATACAGTTTACAAATATGTAAGTGTAAAATGAAGATTCTTATTTGAACTAGAACCAAAGTCATATTTTGGAAACTGCCTTGTATGTTTCAAAGTTGTTACATAAACCTACACATATTAAAATTTCCTGTTGCATTAATTTTGTATTTAGCATTAATTCATTTGTATCCAAATTATGAAATTATTCCATCTACATGCTGTAGTCCAGAAATACCCAAACATAGTATATCTACCTAACCACCAAATCCTGATCTTGATTCTAGATGAAGTTCTTACTGAGTTTTCCAGACCAATAGTTATAAACACACCAAATGTACCTCTGGATCCAAAACTATTTAAGTGAACTAGCTGTACTGGTCCATGATCTTCTGATAGACTCCATACAATTTAAATTTAAGACATATAGTTCCTGTCCAGAAACTTTCTAAAACTTATACCAATATAAGTGTAAATTTGGCACATACACAAAAACTATTATGAAGATGAATGGTTGAATTTTCAACTTTGACAATAGTAGGTATAGGGGTGAGGAATTTTGCTTGCTGGGTTGATGAGGATCAAGAGAATATGTTGAATGTATAATTTTTTTAACAAAAGAAACATTTAAGCATAAAAAAGACAGCTTTCTGTCAACAAGCTTGCCCCTTTCTTTACGTTTCTGCTGCCTCCACTTTTACTGGCATTGTTACCTCTCACCTGACACTCCTTTCCTTCTTCTTCTCTCCACTGTACTCCAATCTGAATCCAGTTAATCAATCAATAAATATTTATTGAGGGATGTGTATGTGCCAAGAATCCTGCTGGAAAACTGAACTCCCACATGTCTGAACAGTTACTCTCCTCCACAAATACACTAGCAACTTTCCAGCTAGCAACCTCAAATGTAATTCCAGCCTTATTTCTTAGTCTTAGCCTACACCCACCTTGGTCATATGCTAGACAGCTTCAGACAAAGTAGTATATTCACCCTTCTCTGTGATATGTGTCAGTTTTAGGCATAAATCCCTGGGGCCTAGAACTACAAAATACGTAATTCTTAGAGGTATATGGTGTGTTCGTATCATAAAGCCAACAATCTTAGAAAAGCATTTTGAACTAGGTAATATCAGGTGTGTCTTTGAAAAGTTCTTTTAAAAAAAGAAAGATAGAAAGAAACAGGTGAAACTGTGAAGGGAAGCACAGAAAGAAGAGCTTAACTCAGAATTGGGATAATTTTGTGTTTTACTCAAAACACAGGAATAGGCAGACCAAAGAATCCAGAGAATGGAGAACAGCTGAGGTATGGGAGAAATGAATGTTCTTGTCATCAATCTCTTTAGAAACAAACCCCAGGGCAAATACAAAATAAAAACGCTTGTACTGGAAACTTTCACATCTGGAAGGTTAAGAGTTCTGAGATGCATGATCATGATCATACCCAAAAAAAGAAAAGGGAACTTAGCTTTTAAAAATGGGGCACATTTTTATTGAACACCAACTGTATGCAGAGCACTGTGCTTTTGTGAAGATGCTGGTATCCTGAACTACCTGTAATGATCAATCCTGTTATTTCATGAAGTAGTTATAGTAAACTGTAGAGTAATACAGCCTCCACGCACAACCCCAGCTCTCACTCCAAGTGCAGACTCATGTCTGCCAGAAGGAACTCCAAATTTACAATCAGGATCAAAGTCAGGACCTATTGGCTGCTCTGTATTTTTAACCTGTGTATTAGACTACCATCAAAGAACACTAATTAAGATAAGAAATACAGCTATTTATTTGTTTCATGAGCATGTTCAGGTTTCTGAATAATACATTAAAAAATCTATGACATCTGTATATGTCTTTCACAAAAGAAAAAAGTATAGGGCACATCTGTCTAGCTAAGAAACAGATTTTAAAAAGTCTTTTCTATAGTTTTCATTAAAGTATAGAGACTATCTTAATTTTATTTTATTTTTTAATTTAAACAATTTTTATTATAAAGATGTGGGGTACATTTTGGGGTTGGGTATACAAACCCATGCAGCTACCCTTGATATGCAGCTACCCTTGTTGATGAGGTATGCCCCTCCCTCCCCTAGCAGTTTCTCTCAACTGCCAATCCGATCCCCCCCCTCCCCTGACAGTTTCCCACTACTGCCAATCACTTCCCTATAGCATTATAATTGTTCAAGTTTCATTTATGAGTGAGAACATATGGAACTCTGTTCTTTGTTTCTGTGATAAATCACTGAGTATGATCGACTCAAAATCCATCCAAATTGCTTCAAAGTCCACATATTTGTCCTTCTTTATGGCTGCGTAACACTCCACCATGTATATGTACCACAGAGAATATCTTAATTTTAAAGACTACAGAAAGTAAAGTGGAATATATAAGGTGAATAAATCAATAATATCTATAGCCAAGTCCAAAGTATTTTAGATTAATCTGAAAAGCTGAGTTTCTAAGACTTTGAAAAATGAGAGAATACATTTGGCAAAATCTTTAACTTGGACTTTTTTGTTTGTTTGATTTTGCTTCTAGGTTTCAGATTCAGAGATGTGCAACTGATCCAAACAGTTATAAAAGCTTAGGAGACAGTTTTCGAATGATTTTCAGAACAGAAGGGTATGTATGGCTCTTCATATATAGACTTTATGTTGATATATGCATTTTAATATATTTCTGCTTAACATGTCTTCTCATTTTGAATGGTTTATTTTCCTAGTCTTATTAGGTAAAAATACTAGATTTATTTTCCTAGTCTTATTAGGGAAGAAATATTTTTTAAAAATACGTTTCTAGTCTTATTAGGGAAAAAATACTTAAAAGGGTGACTTCCTACTTTGTCATGTTTTTCCTAATAATATGATTGGAAACAATATGTATGCAGTGGAAAGTACCACAAAAGGGATATTAATAGTCAATTTAATGACTAGAGACCAATTCCTAATTTATGCCAATAAACTTTTTAAAGTTACTAAAACTGGGGCCATCTAAATTTATCAGTTCTTTATTTTGGTACTTAAATATAATGCCTAAAAGCTTTACTTATTTGCACTGTAGCTCATGAATATGCAAGCCACACAGATTTGTATCAAAAATGGATGTGTCAAATTTATCATCTGATCTATTAGATGGTCGGACAAATAGAATATCTTGTTTACCTACACTAATATCTTATATGTGTAGAGTCAGGTCAAGACTTTATCCATCTAATTTTTCAATGAATATTATATTTGCTTTTGAAAGTTGTTTTCATAAGAAAATTGGTGAAAATAATAACCATTCAAAAATGTAACAATAGGACCAGGCTCAGTGGCACAGCCTATAACCCCAGCATTTTGGGAAGCTGAGGTGAGTGGATTGCCTGAGCCCACAAATTGGTAAGACCTCGTCTCTACAATAAATAAAAAATTAGCTGGCATGGTAGCGCACGCCTGAAGTTCCAGCTACTTGGAAGGTTGAGGTGGAAGGATTGCTGGAGCCCTGCAGATCGATGCTGGAGTGGCCATGAGTATGCCACAGCACTCTAGCCTCTAGTGAGACTCCAACTCAAAAAAAAAAAAAAAGTAACAGTAATAATAATAACTAGTGTATATTTAGCTTCTCTTATGTACTATAGATTCTCCTTACAACTTGATGTGGTAAGTTCGTTAGGATCCTTTCCAGTTAGGCAGATCAAGAAACCAAGACTCAGAGAGGTTAGTAAATTTCACATTAAATGTGAATAGTAGAGGGGGAACTCAAGTCCAGTTCTGCTTGACCCCAAGACCCATGCTCAACCCCAAAGCCCATGCTCTGAACTCCTGTAGTTTGCTACCTCTCTTGCCAATTACACTATAATCGTTCTGCTAATCATTTATTTCAGTTAAACAGATGTTATGCCAGTATTTTCTTTTTAACAATACAGTTATTTATTTATCATTATGCTGCAGTTTATTAAATTTATCCCTTTGGTGGACCTTAAGGTTGTTTCCAAATTTCCGCTATTATAAACAACAGTACAATATTCTTATGCTATCTTTGCACATTTGTTAGTGTATATATTTTAATATGTTATATATTTATATATTTATAAATTTTATATTATATATTATATTATATATTTATAAATTTTATATTTATATATAAATTCTATATTTTTATATTTTTACATTTTCATACTGTAAATTGTTACCTATGGACTTACAGAATCAAATTATGTGCATATTTTGTATGATAGATGTTGACAAGTAACTACCTTCCAAAAAGTATGTACTGATTTTATACCCTTAGTATTTGAGTGTTCCCATTTTTCTACACTCTCTTAAACACTGGACATTATAAATCATTGTTTAGTATATCTGTTGCTGACATGAATCTCTGTTTTCCATCTGACAAGTGAAAAATAAGACTGTCTTGATTGTACTCCTTTATTACTGGGATTGAACATACTTTTATACCATTAGGTGTTATTTCTTTCATGATTTGCCTATTTGTGTCTTAACTATTTCTCTTAGATATTTTTATTGGTTTGTAGAAGCTTAGTAAAATATTATAGATACTAATTTTTTGGCTATTGTGTAAATTGTAAACTTTTTTTTTCAACTTGTCATTTGTCTTATGATTATAGAGTCTTTTGAAGATTATAATTTTGTGATACTATCTACCTTTCCCACTGTGATATCTAATATCACATTTTACATTTATTTTTTTAATCCATCTGAGAATTTTAAAATATGCAGTGTGGTATACAGGAATTAAATTTCATTTTAAAATGCTTAGTCAATTGTCCAAACACCTCTTGCTGGAAAAAAAAAAAAATCTATCCTTTACTCACTAATTGGAAATGCTACCTTTTATATATTAAATTTCTATATTTACATCATCTAGATTTTCTATTCTATTTCTTCATTTCCTATTCTGTTCTGTTAATTTATCTATCTATATACCATTATCACACTGTTTTAATTACTTTATCCTTAGAGTATTTGGAAAATATGCAAGCATGCCTGTAGTATAAAGTTCAGACTTCTCGTCATGGTATGCAGAGCCCTTCCTGATATGGCTTGTCTTTGTGGACACATATACTCTAGGAGCAGCAAACAGTCTGCAGTACTCTGGTCTCTCACCTTCTCATGACTTTTGCGTGCTCTTCCCTATTCCTGGAGGACCCACCCCCCATTACCCCCAAGAAACTAGCCCTCTTCATTCAAAGACAACTTCAAGTTTCACCCTCCCTGACCAACTTTTCTCTACCATATGTTGAATTATTTTCCCATTTCTTTCTTTTTTCCTATGTAAATGCTATATAAAATATAACAAGTACCACTCTGATTTATTTTCTTGTTTTCCATCTGTCTCCCCTCTCCCAACCTGAGAATATATTTCTATAGGCCATGCCCCTTTTAGCTCAGAATTCCTGATACTTGTGTTTGGCATTGAGTCAAGATACTCAGTAAGTGTACGCTACACAAATGAATGGAAGTCATCACACCATTATAAAGATGCAAAATGAAACAAGGATGAGAAATCCTGCTATAGACCACCCTCTTTGAAGTTATGATAATAATCTTGATGCTTAATAAATATTTTGAGGTCATCTAGTAACAAAAGATATTCAAGTTCTTCTAGCTATTACTCTGATGAAGTGGTACCAAAGTGCCATATATTGATAATATATACCTGTATTTATGACAAGAATGTTAAAGAAATCATAGCATATTATGTAGTCAATAAAAGTGTCCCTTTCCTATATAACAATAATGTCAGCATTGCCGAGTTCTGTAAGCTGTAACAGATATCTCTGAATTGGATGTGGGAGTTCCTTAGCCAAGTTCTTCATTTCATGTGTGTTTTAAGAAGAACTTGATGTTTCTGCTTTGATATAAAATAATATAACAAACATGCAGTATGTGTGGTCCTTGCATAGTAAAATTGGCCTTTTTCTATACTGTATGTATAATTGCTTCTACAGCAAATTGACATTTTTCCTGCAGCGCTTTTAGATCTGGACATGTTGTTAGCCAAAAACCAGAGGGCTCTAGTCCTAGTGATGGAAATATTTGTAAAAATACAAAAGAAAAAGCTCCCTGTTATTTCTGATACAGAGCAAGAGCATTTCATAGCCTTGGGTTAAACAAACACATAAACAAAAAAGAAAAAGAAAAAAAGAAAGTCTTTAACACATGCTGTGTTGAAATTTTTTCCTCGTAAAAACAGTTCTTTTTGACTTTCTCATGTAGTTTATAGAGTCCACTGTTTTTTAAAGATGCCTTTCTTACTCAGGTGAATAGAGGCCAGTTTGGTCTGTGGCCTGTGGGGAGGATAGAACCAATCAATTTGACTGTTAGCATAATTAAAATAATTAATCTCTCCTGGTTTCTCCTATCTCGACCAAGTTAAAAGATTTTTAAACTAGTCCTTTTTCATTATTTAAAAACATTAAAATCTGTTAATACACTTAGAATATGCCTAGATCTCCCATTTCCCTACTGTAAGAAAGTGGTGTTCGCCACCATTCTTAGAGATGCAATCCCCACCTCTCTGTCACATGCCTCCAAGAGACAATAGCTCAACCACACGGGTCCAAATCCCTGTACTGCTTCTAACATTCTTTTTCTTCTTAAAAGCATAGATACATTGTACTTTTCTTTAAAAACATGGTTTTCCAATGCAGTTTTACTACCCAGCCCATAATGTTTTTTTTTTAAAAAGGCCTTCTAAATTCTATGTAAAGATTTCTATTATATGGAATCCTTGTACTTAGCTCGCGTTTACCAAAGATGCTGCTTTCTCTAACGCTGAAGGGAGAAGTGTAGACAGAAAAGAAATGTCACTACTGAGATCTCCTCCAATGTCACCACAATTCTTCATCTTTCTCTGGTTTGGCAAAAAGAAACTAAGAAATAGGCTTATCTTCTATAATAAAGTGAGCCCAGAAGACATATAAAGATACAGCCTAGTTGATTAGGTGCCTTTAAAACCAATAAGGTTCGTTTTGTAAACTCACCTAGCAACAGCAGCTGGTATGTCTATTTACCATGTGTTCATGTATCACGCCTTGCTTCTCTTTGCCTCAGAGTATCTTATAAAAGTCTTTCTAGTCTCTTGTACGTATCATTCTTTTAAAAACAGTTATTGAGATGTTCACAAGTGGGTGAGGGAATTATAAATTATGTGATTGTAAAACTAAGACAGTTTCCCCTCCTCCTACTCACATTCTCACTCTTCCTCTCCTGAAAATGTTCATTCTTTCTGGAATAAGGAGAAAACAAGAGTTGAACAGAGCTCGAGATATTCTGGCAACATCGGTAAAGAAAGACATAAAATTAGTATTTATTTTCTTCAATGTACCATGCACTATGCTAGGATTTTCTCTATACATTACTCTCAATGCAACACTATTAACACAGCACAGCATCCTTATGCCCATATTTCACATGAGGTAACTGAAGATCAGAGAGGTAAATAACTTGCCCAAAATCTAACCGGTATTAATGTCCTAATCACAGTTTTTCCATTGTACATATTACCTTTCTCTGAAGCCCGGATCTGGTTACTTATTGGTTACCAAGGAGACAAGGTAGAAATAGTGGCCATAAACCCTTCATTTTAAAATAGCTATTCTGAAGCCTTTGGTATTC